CGTTTGTTAAATGGGACCTTAAGTTATAATGATGTTATAAAGTACCTGGTATACAATAAATCCTATATAACTACTATCATGAACCTGGTATTAGGTAGTATTTTAAAAGAAAATAACAAATATGGCAAAACGTGGGGGGAAGAAACAAAAGAACGCTAATGGATCCATGTAAAGGATATATGAGTAACCAATGATTTATTCTTGCACTTTTTTTGTAGATTTTTAATTTTCAAAATAAATTTTTTTTGGGGAAAAAAGTATGCCAGAAAATCCCATAAAAATTAAATAAAGCTTTTCTATTTCATTTCTATTTTGTCTCTTCAGTTTGCTGAAGATAATTCAAGAACAGCTGCAGCAATTCATTGACAGGGAACTGCGAGAAATCCAAGCTGGATTCAGAAGAGGACATGGAAACAGGAATATCATTGCTGATGTCAAATGGATCCTGGCTGAAAGCAAAGAGTACAAGAAAGATGTTTACCTGTGTTTTATTGACTATGCAAAGGCATTTGACTATGTGAATCACAATAAATTATAAGTAACATCACAAAGAATAGGAATTCCAGAACACTTAATTATGTCCATGAGGAGTCTGTATATAGACCAAGAGGCAGTAACTCAAACAGAACAAGGGGATATTGCGTGGTTCAAAATCAGGAAAAGTGTGTGTCAGGGTTGTATCCTTTTACCATGCTTATTCAATCTGTATGCTGAGCAAATAATCTAAGAAGCTGGACATTATGAAGAAGAATGCAGCATCAGGATGGGAGGAAGAATCATTAACAACCTGCAATATGCAGATGATACAACCTTGCTTGCTGAAAGTGAAGAGGACTTGAAGCACTTACTGATGAAGATCAAAGACTATAGCCTTCAGTATGGATTACACCTCAACATTAAAAAAAAAAAAAATCCCCAGAACTAGACCAATAAGCAACATCATGATAAATGGAGAAAAGATTGAAGTTGTCAGAGATTTCATTTTACTTAGATTCAAAGTCAACACCCATGGAAGCAGCAGTCAAGAAATCAATGTATTGCATTGGGCAAATGTGCTGCAAAAGACCTCTTTAAAGTGTTTAAGACCAAACATGTGAATTTGAAGACTAAGATGTGCCTAACCCAATGCAAAGGTATTTTCAGTTGCCTCATATGCATGTGAAAGCTGAACAATGAATAACAAAGACCACAGAAGAATTGAGGCCTTTGGACTGTGGTGCTGGCGAAGAATATTGAATGTACAATGGACTGCTAGAAGAACGAACAAATCTGTCTTGGAGGAAGTACACCCAGAATGCTCCTTATAAGCGAAAACAATCAGACTTCTTGTATTTTGGTCATGTTGTCAGAAGGGACCAATCCCTAGAAAAGGATATCATGCTTGGCAAAGGAGAGGGTCAGCGAAAAAGGGAAAGACCCTCAGCGAGATGGATTGACACAGTAGCTGCAGTGACAGCTCAGCAGCTCAAGCATAGCAACCGTTACAAGAATAGCACAGGATCAGGCAGTGTTTTGTTCTGTTGTACACAAGGTTGCTGTGAGTCAGAAGTCACTTGACGATGGCACCTAACAATACTGTGTTTTAGATTGGTTTTCAAGGCCCTTTAGAAAATATCTCAACTTATCCATCCAGCCTTCTTACTCCTCCTCTTGAACTTTATGCTCTAATAAACTATACTGCATCTCTCTGGTAAAATCTTACCTTTTAAGCTTTCTCTTAAGATGCCTTTTTTAAAATTTACTTTTAAAAAGTAAAGACATTCACCAATATAATTTCCACATTTACAGCTCAGAGACATTGATGACATTTTTCATGTTGTGCCATTGTTATTGCTATCCTTTTCCAAAATATTTCACCACCATTAGTAGAAATGCAACATCCCACAAACAAAAGCTTCCCCTTTTCCCCTTTCTCTTACCCCTGGTAATAGTAATAATAATAATAATAATAATAATAATAATAATCTTTGGAATCCAAACCAAAAAACAAACTCACTGCCATCAAGTCAAACCCAACTCATAGCGACCCCTCCTTAGGTTTCCCAGACAGTATCTCTACGGAAGTAGATTGCCCAGTCTTCCTTCGGAGGAGTGGCTGGTGGTTCAAACCCAACAGACTTCTGGTTAGCACTCAAATGCCTTAGGCACTATGCCACCAGAGCTCCCATCTTTGGGATGTTGTTGTTGTTATGTGCTGTGGAGTGGGCCAACTCATAGCGACCCCTCCTTGGGTTTCCGAGGCAGTATCACGGAAGTAGATTGCCCAACCTTCCTTCTGAGGAGTGGCTGGTGGGTTTGAACCGCCAGCCTTCTGGTTAGCAGGCAAGTGCCTTAGGCACTATGCTACCAGAGCTCCTTATAGAATATAGTGGATCCTACTATTTTAAAAATGAATTTAAAAATGTGTCCATCTAGAGAACAAGAGAGTTGGTCAGCCTCAGAAGCAAAAGGAAGTGGAAAAAAGGAGGCAAAAGTGAGCATCTAAGTACTCTCAAAGGGAGAAAGCTGAACTGGACTTTCTATTGCTTCCTAGTTGTATATCACATTTATGTGATAAACATATACATATTCTGCCTTTTACTATTAATATTTACATTTTTATCATTTGCCAAATTACCCCCGCCCCCACAGAGCAATGGTGGACAGGGCCTCCTTTTTCTCTTACTCAGCTTTGTTTTCCCAAGAGTTCCCAGCTTCCTATATAAGACCCTGAAGGGTGGTTGCCTCGGACTTCCCACAGCCACATTCCCCTCTATTTTTCTAAGGAAAAAAAAAAAAAAAAACCCTCAACCCATTGCCATGGAGTTGATTCTGATTCACGAGACCCTATGTGACAGAGCAGAACTGTGCCATAGGGTTTCCAAGTCTGTGATCTTCAAGGAATCCGACTGCCACATCGGTCTCCCACAGAGCAGCTAGGGGGTTCGAACTGCTGATCTTTCTGTTAACAACCGAGGGCTTAACCACTGCGCGACCTTTTCTAAGAAAAAGTGGCTTTAAATGCTCCATACAAAAATTATGTCCTTCTTCCTAAAGGGTCATCTTTATATGTGTAGATTTTCCCCAAAGTAACGGAAATAAATCTTAGCTTTAGCGAGTCATTTTCCAGTCAATGAATGACTAGTGATTTCCATTCTCTGTGTGTCCACAGTCGCGGACAAAAGCCACTGAGGGAAAAAAAAAAGGATTTCCAAATCGGCTTCCTCAGTAGAGCTTTATTGTGGAGAGTACCAAAGCGTATGTTTGTTTGAAGGTTCCCCGTCTGGGCCCTGCAAGCAACCTCCCATACCTTGGCGTCCCGAGACTGATACCCCCTCCCAAGGTTGTTTGTCTGCGGGAAAAGCGCGCGCTCAGCAGGGCACTTTTGGCGGGAGAGGTCAAGTGGTTAGGCTGTGACCAATGAGAAGCGTACACGGCGCGCGGCTGCCGGAGGCGGGTCTCCGGCCCAGGAGGTTCTGCGCGCGCTGCCTTCTCCAGCCTGCTGGCGGGAGCCAGAACGAGAGGTGAGGAGGCGGGGTAGCTAGAATGCGCAACCCGGGGCCCAGATTACCCTGTGATTGGCGTTCTCCAGGCCAAAACAACTTCGTGACCCACTCACCCGCCCCCCTTAATCTACACAGCCCCCATTTCTTCAGTGATACCATGAAATTTAAGGCGAGAAACGCGCTGCTGCCCGAATATTAAGGCAGGAGTACATGAAGGAAATAGGAGGCTTGTGTCGGCTCTAATTTTGTTTCGAATTGTTTAGCAGTGGTTGAATGCACACTGGTGGCCCAGCCGACTAAAACATCCATATAAACAGGATTTTACACACATCGTAAAATGAGAGTTCTAGACATGACAACAAACATGTAGACTGGGTTGTGGGCTGTTACTGTACACGAATGTGACAGCCACATTAACTCTTCCTCTCGCTTCCGCTTTTGAAGTGAAACAAATTAGGCAAAGGATTTTAGGTAAATATGGCAACGCCCGCCCGCAGGGCACCTGCGAAGGTACCCATCAGCTTCACAAGGAATCTCTGAGGATCAAATGGTGTATGTGATAGTGAATGTGAAACACTGGAAAAGCTTTACAATAAAATACAAGTTGTAGAAACAGTTGTGATGGTTGCACAACTTTTTGAATATACTAAAAACTAGTGAATTGTGCACTTTAAAATGGTTCACTTTATGGTTGGTGAATTCAATCTTAATTTTTAAATCTAAAAAAATAATAAGCTCTAGAAGGTTTTCATAGCTGACAGAATCTCAGGCTTAGAGAAATAATTGTTGATATCTGCACAGATGAAAATTCAAAAATTTAAGTCAATTGTGTTCTTTCTAGAAAATTAATATCATATTTGATATGTTGGCAAGAGACTATCAAGATGCTTGAAATTTCCACTTTTTAGTGCCATGTAAATTTTAAAAATTGCATCATTCATTTGAAATTAATTTTAATAATCTCAGGTATCTAGCATACTTTTAGTCAAACAAAAAACCCAAAGCCTAATAAACATAACCCCAACACTCTCCATTAGTGCCGTTTAGAACATAAGACTAATTTTCTAACATTCTGGGACATTTAGAAATCATATATTTTTGCAAAACGGAAGTTTCAAGTTTATCTTCCCTCATGTTCTCTCCTATATTGGCAAAATCAAGAGGAACGTAATCTGAATTTTCTCTTTCTTAATGGTGCAGACATTGGAAGGTCAAGTGTGAAAACTACTTCTTATGAAAAGATTTTGATTATTTTAGCCAATTTGAAATAACCTTAATTACTTGTCAGATCAGTGATTCCGGATTAGTAAAATCTAAAGGATTTAGTACCATGAAGTAAAATCAGTTTTAGATCTACACTACCTAAGAATTGACAAACAGATTTGCTAGTATCTTTTTACAGTTAATTTAAAAATAATCTATTTAATGCCTAATGTTATGTCCTCAATCCCAAGGGAAAAAAATATATATGCTAAATAGAATATTTATCATAGATTAATACAAAAAATGTCTTACCTGGGATCCTTGACATGGCTGAAACAGGCTGGGAGCTGACAAGTTGGGTCATGTATGCCTTCGGAAAACTGTGTTTCACCCACAGTGATTTGCAACAATTTGTTACTTTGGGAGAGAGATTCAATACTTCTTTAGGTTCACAAACAATGCTATCGTGTTTCATCTTCTTCATGTTTTTTCCCTGTTGAACAATATATTTTCAGAGGATTAAGGATATAAGCTTGTCATTATATATTTGATATGTTAGATGAATATTGATGTATTGACGAGGCAGCCTTTATTCACATAAGGAGCTCTGGTGGTATAGTGGCTAAGGCATTTGGCTGCTAATCAGAAGGTCAGTGGTTCAAACCCATCAGCTGCTATGTGGAAGGACAATGATGCAATCTACTTCTATAAAGATTTATAGCCCTGTAAACCCAATGGGGGTCACTACCAGTCAGAACTGATTCAATGGCAGTGGGTTTGGTTTTGGTTTTGGTTTTTATTTAATTGACTCAATGGCAGTGGGTTTGGGTTTGTTGTTGTTGTTAGATGCCCTGGAGTTATCTCGGACTCCCTAGCGACCCTATCTATGCATAGCAGAGCAAAACACCTCCGGGTCCGCGCCAGCTCTAGGCGATCCTTGTTATATTTGAGCCGATGGCAGCAGCCACTGTGTCAATTCATCTCGGTTTGAGTTTAGTTTCGGTTTTTATTACACATTAAAGGGTTATAGCTTTGGGTGGGAAGTGGAACTGGTTAATCTCTAAGGTCTTTTTCAACTAAAATGCTACCTCATCTTTCTATGTTGTTTGATCTTTAGATCTGCCACACTACCCCTCACTCGAATGTCCCAGTAGTTTTTCTTCATTTTTTTTTCAAAAGCCATATTACATCAGGGAGTTTAAATTGGTACACATAGAAAAAGGGAGACAAATTAGTGTTGCCAAAAGAAAACAACCTAGAGAGGTAGGGCAGAGTGAAGATAGAATACATTCCTTGTCCTATTTCCGTGTGTGTGTGTGTCTGTGTGTGTGTGTGTGTGTGTATTTCCTCCCCAGACCATCTATACAGATACTAATGAGGATTGTTCTATGTCCTCAAGCTCACTTCTTTTTCCCTAGTCTTGGTGCAGCAATCCAGTGAGTTGGAGTTTTAAACTAAGACTTTTATTATTCATTTGAGCACTTAATTCTCTTGATTTAAATGCTGGCCACAGACTTCCATTTTCTATTCCACCTCCTAAATCTAAGCAGTTACTGCAAAGGGAAGAAATGAGTAAGAGGGGTCAGACCATAATGAGACACTTAAGGAGGTAACAGGGAGGCCATCAGGAGACTTTAGATTAGTGCTGAGCCAGAAATATAATGTGAGCCACCTATGTAACTTTAAGTTTCCTAATAACTACATTTTAAACCTTTTTTTCTTTCTTTTTTACATTCTCATTACTGTAAATCTTCAAAATATGGTATGAATGTTACACTTACAGCATATTTCAAATGCTCAGTTGCCACATATCTGTGATGGGCTGAATAATGGCCTCCCAAAGATGTCCTCACCTAATCTCCAGAACCTGTGAATATGTTACTTTACATGGATTATGCAAAATGGACTTTGCATATGTCATTAGGTTAAGGATCTTGAGATGGTGAGATTATCCTGGATTATCTGAATGGGCCCAATCTAAACACATAGGTCTTTATAAGAGGGAAGCAGGAGGGTAAGGGTCATAAGGGGAACTCTGGTAGCATAGTGGCTAAGACACTTGCCTGCTAACCAGACGGCTGGCAGTTCAAACCCACCAGCCACTCCTCGGAAAGAAGGTTGGGCAATCCTACTTCCATAGTGATACTGCCTCAGAAACCCAAAGAGGGGTCCTATGAGTCGGGTTTGACTCGATGGCACATAACAACAACAAGGGTCATAAGAGAGGAGGAAATGTGAGAATGAAAGTAGAGGTTGGAATGATATTAGAAAGGGGCTATGAGCCAAGGAGCGAAGGCAGCCTCTAGAAGATGAAAAAAGCAAGAAAATAATTCTCTAGAGCCACCAGAAAGGAGCTCTGGTGGTAGAGTGGGTTATACATTCCAGCTGCTACCAGAAGGTCACTGTTTCAAACCCACTGGCTGTTCTGCAGGAGGAAGTGGTAACAATCTACTTCTGAAAAGATTTACAGCCGTGGAAACCCAATGGGGGTCGCTATGAGTCAGAATTGACTTGATGGCAGTGGGTTAGAACCTCTAGAAGGAATGCTGCCCTGCCATTTGAGACCTCTGACTTCCAGATCTGTACAATAATAAATTTTTAACCCACTGACTTGTCACAGCAGCAATAGAAAATTAGGATACTTTGCCAATCTGAGTGAGTACATATGGTCAGTACATTATAATTTAAAAGTGTACATGGTAAAATAAGCTTGGCGATACAGTTAAGGTGACAGTCTATGTTACAGTGTAGTATTTCAATAATAATAATTAGGTAATTACAATAACTAGGGATCTTTGGTGGCGTAGTGCCTAAGGCATTTGACTGCTAACCAGAAGGCTGGCAGCTCAAACCCACCAGCCACTCCTCAGAAGGAAGGTTGGGCAATCTACTTCCATAGTGATATTGCCTTGGGAACCCATGGAAGGTTCGCTATGAGTTGGATCTGACTCGAAGGCAGTTAGTTAGTTTTTTTTTTTTTTTTTTTTTTTAGGGTTGCTGAACACTAAATAGCTAGTTATTGGTGGTGGCAACTGTGATTTGTTACAAATCCTTATAGCAAGCAATATATGGTAGTCAACAATGGAAAAATATGTATTGATCCCCTACTGAATGTCAAACATTGTACTAGACTGGAGATACAGCAGTGAATGAGACAGGTTCCTTCGCTTGTAGAAGTGAAAGTCTAGCAGGGGAAATAGACATATATATTTAATCAGAGTCATGGTAATTGTGGTAGTTATGTGTCAACTTGGCTGGGCCTGGTTTTGAGTAGCTGGGTAGCTAGATGTAGTTATTCCTCATGATGATCATGGTTATCAACTCCATGGTGGAATCTGCTGTGAGCAGCTGAGTAGCTGCCTTAGGGATGTGGTCTGCTTCCAGTGTACAGAAGACAGCTTTGAAACAGGTCTTGAGCTTTTGGGCACACTTGGACTCTGCATGTGGCCAAGTCTTCATTCAGCAGCCTGCCATGTTGCCTGCTAATCTTGGGACTGTTTCTGTACTACACTAGTTCAAGTGGCCTGCCATGTTGCTTAATAATCTGGGGACTGTGACATATTACTTGCCAACCTTTAGTTTGTCAGCCTCAGCAGACAGCAGCTGCTTGACTTAAGAGAAGCTGCCAGCTTCAGTGGGCCAGGAGCAAGAGGCAGAGCTGAAGCCCAAGGTCAAGGGGCCCTCACCCAGCCCCTACAGCTGGCACTTGAACTTGGACTTCTAGCCTCCTAAACGGTAAGAGAATAAATTCCTGTTCGTTACAGCCACACATTTGTAGTATGTCTGTTATAGCAGCACAAGATAGCCAAAACAGTTAAGTGTTATGAAACTATTTCATGGAGGATGGACCTAAGCTGGGTGGTCAGGAAGGATTCACCTAGAAATGACACTTAAGCTGGGGCCTAAAAGATCACTAGGAATTGGCCAAAAGGGAAGATAACCAAGGGGAAAAAAATGCCTCTGAGAGCAGAAATACTAGTATAAAAGCCCAAAGGCAGTAAAGGATTCAAGGCCTTTGAAGAGCTAAAAATAAAAACAATGAGGACTTTCCAAGTCAAGACAGCTGAGATTTTCCCATACCACTTCTCTTAAAAATCACCCAAAAATAACAAGGGTGGGGAAAGGAAGAAACACAAATGTCAACTTTATTGAACTGGGCGTCAACCCAAACCACAATGCATGAAAAAGGAAAATGGATGGAGTTTGGTAAAGGTTTTAGCCTGAGTGCTCAGAGAAGGAGAAACCAAGGAGAAGCTTAAACTAGGTCACCCTGAGGAACCCTGCAAAGAGGAACTGGAGGCACCAGTGACTGCAAAAATGGTTGCCAAGTAGCAGAGGGACATTAGAGGACTGGAGGTGGGAGAGGTATAGTACTGAAAAGGGGGAATTGTTTGAAAATTTGTTTAATAAGTGTTTAGACTCCCAGGACCCACCTCACCTGATGAATGTGGGGCATAGGTCAGTGTGGGACCAAGGCATCTTACTGAAAAGAGAAAAATTATATCTGAAACTTAAAAATGAAACACATTGGTTTCTTCTGCTCAGACGCAGAACTTCGCAGCCAGACTTCTACACTCTAAGCAGAAAACTGAAGGGTATTTCTCAGGAGAAAATGACTATTTCAGAAAAAAAGTATCACAAAATCAGACATTTGGGGGTTCTCATAGAAAAAGTCTACAGTGGATCCCTTCACTTCACAGGCCTTGAATGTACACACTCAGAGTCTGCAATCAATGTATAAGAATGTGGTTAATGTATAAGAATGGTGGTTGAAAGGGAGGTCACAGGAAACAGAAATGCAGGGGGCAGAAAAATATTTTAAAGAAACTGTAAGGTCATCAGAGAAATATTGTTGTTGTTGTTATGTGCCGTCGAGTCAGACCCGACTCATAGCGACCCCTCCTTGGGATTCCGGGGCAGTATCACTATGGAAGTAGATTGCCCCATCTTCCTTCCGAGGAGTGGCTGGTGGGTTTGAACTGCTACCCTTCTGGTTAGCAGTCAAGTGTCTTTAGGCAATATGCTACCAGAGCTCCTCAGAGAAATATTACATCTATGAAATAAGAAAACTATGGTATAAAAAATAAACAGTCTAAAAACAAGAGCTAGCAGTTGCAAATTACCAATGTTACAGCTAATTAAAATTCAGTTGAAAAAAATATATGTGTTGAATGATAAGGACAAAGAAATCTTATAAGAGGTAGAATGATCTTGAAATTGTTGCAACTCAGAAAAAGCCATGAGAATGTTCTACAAGATAACTGGTCTGGTCTTTTTAAAAATAAATAGATAAAAATAAAATAGTATTATGGGGGAATAAAATGGTGGGTGGGTGGAGAGCACTGCTCTAAATTAAAAGTTACAAATAGATAAAGGAGTCCTTTGGTGGTACAAATGGTTAACATGCTCAGCTGCTAACTGACAGGTTGGAGGTTCAAGTCTACCCACACATGCCTCAGAAGAAAGGCCTGGCCATCTGCTTCC